GAATCAAGACATAAAAAGAACACAAAGCTATACATGAAAGATAATTATTACAAAAGAACATAAACATTAGTTTAATAAACCTAAATTGTGTTTTTAAAAAAACTAATAAATACAATAACATTATAAATTATGCATATTAATACTCCAACTCACTATATATAATGCAATACATAGTCGGAGAATGGAAAATTAAATTTTGTTAAGATGGTTTGATATGTAAATATACAATTAAGTTTTCTTTTTAGCAAATATACACTTAATTTCCTTCTTAGAATTGCCTTGTATTTTTCTAAAAAAGTGTTATGACATCTATTTTCTTATTTTTGTAAATTGTTATGACACATTTTCCTTCTCTTTTTTTTGGTGACACTAATAATGGAACAAATCAAGATTTAAAAAAATAGAAGTTTTCTATTTACAATCAAAATAACAAAATTAACTTATACTAAATGTTTTAAAAGAATTGGAAGTTTTCTATTAACAATAAAAGAAAATTAATTTAAATTTAAATATTGACATGGCATAACACTATTGGTTGATTTAAATCCTATGCGGACGCCTTTAGTAGCTTATAACCTCAACTTTTATATAGTACTAGAATAGGATCCGCGTTAATACGCGGGTAAATATTATAAAAAGTATTGAAATAAATATTTAAGTTTTAATTAGTGATCCGTTAAATTTTAAAATATTACTTAACGTAGATCCTAAAACCAATAGAAATCAATTTATATCATCTCTTATGTTCTAATACATATCATGCAAATCCAAAAATATATAGTATCGGAATTTAAATCATATTCTTANTAACCNAAAAAATATATTTTAACCCATTATGAATATTTATGATTATGTGGTAGAAAATAAAAGCAACTAAAAAACTATATAGTTAAATAAGAAATGAGTAAATTTTATGTTAGTAAACTCATAAAAACTTTAAATAATATTGTGAACCATCACATAATTACATGANTGATAATTGTATTTTATTANTGTCATCGTTTTATTTNTCATAGAGATTTATACTCGNCANATTTTATANAGTATTAACTTAATAGTAAATATAATAGTATTATTATTTTTTAACTTATATAAATTTTCAATATATACACTTGAAGAGTATCACACGCATCATAGGTAAAAAATTTCCATTTTTTTGTGATATTTTAGAACTCTATATTGATGAAATAAGTGTTCTTATAGATTTTATTTTTATTTTATTTTTGCATGGTTGTGTATATTTTAAACTTTTAAATTGAGGATTCTATAACCTTTATAAATTTTATTTTTCCAATTTATATACCTTATTTTTTTATCATTCGTCTTTTTATTTATTTTAATTGAGATTTTTATACTATATGTATTATTTGTTTATTTTATGGCTTATGTAATGTTTATATGTTATGCTTTAATTAGCAAATCCACACTTATAAATATGACATTTTCTTTTGTCTTTAGCTATTTAGATAATTTAATGGAAAGATTGTATTTTGTAATATAAAAATTTAGAAATATTACATATTTTAGTAGAACGGTTTTTTTTACTTTTTCTTAATTAATCCCTAACCTTTGTTTAGAATATATTCCTTATTTTTTTTTGTTAATATTGGAAATATTACATAGTTTAGTAGAATATTTTTTTCTTTTTTCTTAATTAGTCCATAATCATTGTTTAGAATATATTCTTTATTTTTTTTTTTAAATATTTTTGTTAATACTAACACATGTCATAATCTAAATTAACAATTACACATGTCCTGGTGCTTAAAATTTTTGCCTACGTGTTAAGCTCTCATTGCGCGCATTCTCCTTTATATAATAAGATAGATTAACATTGTTTGGAGAGTCTCCAATTTGAGAACCCTATACGTTTTTCTTTCCTTTCTTTTTTTGGTTTTATTATTGGTGATACACTTTGGGTATCAACAAGATTAA